GAAGAAAGAATGCCATGGATATCTTGGATGACATGGGGCGGGGGTGAGTAATTTATCAGGAAAAGTTTTTTTTAAAAGTGAACTACTCCTTTAAGAGTCTCATAATGTGAAAGTAGATAATAATATAGAATGAATATTTCAACAGTTTTTGCAACTTTGTGTCATTCATCACTGATTCCCTACTTGACTTTGAAAAGCTCTAAATGCCAGCAACCAACTGGTCCTGTCTAGACTGCTTTTCAAAGCTGTTGCCGAAATCTAACACACAAATATTGAGCAAGATAAATCTCCTTAATGTTTAATAGGATCAACAAATCTAAATAAAATGCATACTCTGCTTCTGACGAAAGACTGATGGAAAACAATGGCTCTATAATAAGCTATTTTTCTTATGTGAAATCCCTTTTTTCCTTTCATTTACAAATCATGTCGTCTACTAAATCAAATAGTCTGCGGTTACAGCTATAGATCATTTATTTTAATATTTCAGAATAGATTAGGGTTCAGAAAGCACCTCATGCATAAACAATACGATTATTTACATTTTCTGATTATTGTAGCAATAATAAAACAGGCATAATTCAATGTGGACGCTTGGCCTAAAAAAAATTGTTTATGCTTCCCAAAAGCACTCAAAGACCTTTCATCCGCTCAGATTTCTGCATTTGCATTTAATTTGTGTTCTCTGCATTTGATAATAAAGCATTATATATTGTGAATAAATTTTGTCTTGCAGTTCAGGAAAAGAATAAATAAAATAAAATATCAAATACATTTAAAATATTCATATTAATAATAAAAGAAGAATACAAAAGAATATACAAATAATATTATTATATGATATAATCATATAAGTAGGGCTGTCAAGCACTTGTATATTTAAATCAAAATAATTCAGACATGACCAAATCACTGAATCGTCAAAAATGGTCAAAAAAAAGTTAGAGTATAGTTTTAATTTATTTTAATTTTATTCAGCTTACAGTTAACAGCATTTTCGACAGCCCTAGATACAGTATAAGATAATCGCCTTTGAAGATTGCAGTTGGAGTGCCGTCAACGGGAATTGAACGCCTCAGTCTTTGAGACGGGACATTAGTTGTGACACACTGAGCAATTGTGTATTTATGATTTGAACAGATTTTTTCATGCTTCTAATTTTCTCATCATTTCTCATTGAGTGCTCACGATGTCGATCCGTCATTATCCTTCGGCATATCTTAAACAAAATCCTCGTCTCATTAGCAAGACGCAGTGTGGTCTCCCGCCCCGAGGCAGATTAACAAATCTGACACACGGTGGTAATTAAAAGCCAGACATGGGCATTAATTCGCTAATCTGGGCTTGATTTGAACATTTTGGACTTTTATGTGTGCCGGTTTATAGGAGAACCCTGAGTGAATATCAGTTTCATCCTCTCAGATCTGTGGGGAATAATAACGGCTTTGAGTTTAGCCTCTCGTCCCGATAGATGTCCTCAACTTCTGAGGCTTCAAGCTGTGTCACACAGCAGAGTCTGCATTCATGCTTCCAAAGAAAAAGTTTCTTATCTTATGCCGTCGAAAAGAGAGGTACAGAGAACATAAAAACAGAGGGGGTTTGGCTTTAAAGGTGAAGTAGCCCTACAGTATGTTAGATTTTTAAAGTTAAAAATAAAAATATATTTTATGAACGTTTCTTAACGTTAATTGTTCATTGGCTATTATTAGTATGCCATACATGGGTTTATCTCACTCTCAGCCAAAAGTGTAAACATTGAACAGAAGCTTTGCGGGTGAGTAAATGAACACAAAATCTCCATTTTTAGATGAACTATTCCTGTCAAATGCAAATTGCAACATTTGGATGGACACGTTGGACATTTGGATGAAGGGCAGCATGTAGGCGCTTACTACAAAAGTGTTTCTCTTTTACTCTCCAAATGTTTTTGCTACTCTCTCAATCAGTTTAATAATAGTCACATCGATTAATTCCATTTTCCCTTTTTAGATGCTTTTTGCTGTGGCCTGAAATGGCCATGAGGAAATTGTAAAAAGAGTCTTTTATTTTTTATTTTTTTTATTTAACCTTTATTTTACCAGGTAGGCCGATTGAGAACAAATTCTCATTTACAACGGCGACCTGATCTTCAGAATATCCTCACTGTGCAATAGAGAATGAAAAAGTTGTAACTTTCTGTGTGTGTATGTATGTATACTATAAAATGAAATCTATTGTGTACTGTATACACATATTTATATTTTTCATATATATGTTTTTAAGAACCTCTTTTCACAGACACACTGACATTTCATACCCTATAGAAAGGACATCAGAAAGTACATTACAAACATAAAAATCCATTCAATAAAATAAAGTACTTCAGGCACAAAAGCTACTGTAGGACCGATATTATTTTAAGCTGCTAAAAAAGAGACAAGTATAACCCAGGTTTGACTGGAAAGCCACTGAGTGCACGAGAACGCTGAAGTGATGTAGCATTGATGAAATAAGCCTGACGCAGCAGTGCGGCAGAAAATAAATACTTTAGAGCAGAGTCGTCTATGAAGTCTGGGGAATGATTCATAAAATATAATTAAAGCACTGACAGCTACAGAATGCTCCAAAATAACCGCAGGAAGAGCTCTGGATTTTCAGAACAGTATATTTAGATCATCCCTACAGAAGTGGATCTCAACCAGTGGGTCAAGGCCCAAAAATGCACTATAGGTCAGTTCTAAAAGGGTGAATAACAAATGGAAGTACAATGTGAAAAGCAAATAACAGGCAGGAGGCAGCTAATCATCATGAAAAGCTAAGATGGCTAAATAAAAAAAAACATTTATTTCATAATTGAGATCCCCGCCCCCCCACTTTGAATTCTTTTACTTCAATTTAAGGTTAGATTCATTTTTTTAATGAAAGATTAAAAGGATAAACAATGCAGATTTTATACAGCCAGTTTTGATCATATTTACAAGGGGTACCATTAATTCTGAGCACGTCTGCAGCCTATGGATTAGTTTTACAATCTCTTTATGAATGTTTTGAAGCGCTGAAGTGGTGGTTGTGTAGCTGTAAATTGTGAGACAGAAAGCTCTCAGATTTCATCAAAAAGATCTTCATTTGTGTTTTGAAGGTGAACGAAAGTCTTACGGGTTTGAAATGACATGAGGGTAAGTATAATGACAGATTTTTCATGTTTGGATGAACTAACCCTTTAATATTTTTGTGGAAACCATTTTTCAGGATTTGTTGATGAATAGAAAGTTCAAAAGAACAATACTTATTTAAAATATAAATCTTTTCTATTTTAAATATCTAGGTCCACTTTTGATCAATTTAAAACATCATTGTTGAATAAAAGTATTAAATCCTTTTTTTTTTTTTTATCTTACAGAACCCAAACTTTTGAACAGTAGTTTATCTAGAATATATAGAAAAAAAAAACACTTCCCATAGTTAGTCACTGCATGTCCAATGTAAAATGTTGGTCCTAAAGAAAAACCATTTGAGGAGCACTGCTGTGGGACAACTGTCCCGTCCTCTAGTGACATACACCAGGAATAGTGAAGTCACTCAGGATGTCACTCTCTTCCACCAGCATTGGCTATATAACAGGGAAAACGTCCTTCATAACAGGAAGGTTGATTCCTACTATTTCACACACACAGATGATGGATGGGGAGTCTCAATGATTCTTTCCCCTCACAGCGGGAATGAGCCACTCTTGGGACTAGATTAATTTAGACAGATAACACTGCAAGATCAAACCAAACAACTGAAGGACATTTATCACCTAAATCAGCAGTGAAAGGTTCCATCACACTGAGCATGTGTTAACAGGCCAATAGGGAATCATGCACTGTATATACAATAAGAAAATAGCTAGATTCCTTTTGATTTTACTTAATCACTTTTGGTATTTAAGTATTTTAAAAGAACTAAAATGTCAGTACAGAAATATTTCATACACTGATCCCTATAATAACTGTATCCTTGATCCAACAAAGTGGCTATTTACAGTATCTCAGATGTATACTGTGAGGCTGTTGTTGCATGCTTGATTCTGATCAGTTGACTAATGTTCTAAGATATGCAATTATATTTAAGTAAATACATAGCTAGCATAGTCATGCGACAATGAAGACTGAAGTTACGATGCTGAAAATCCAGCTTTGCATCGGGAATAGGAATAAATACATTCACGTTAAAAAAGATTAAATTAAAATTAAATATAAAAATAGTTATGATTAAATAAACGCAGCCTTGGTGAGCAAAAAATACTTCTTACAGAAAAAAAAAATCGTACAGATGCCAAACTTTTAAAAGGTGGTGTATACGATCATGCCAACTCACTAAATCAGAAGCATTTTTAATAGGTAATATCATATTATGTATAATGACAAACTTGTGATGCAATGGAAGTGTTCATTGCTATTTAATGTTTCTGAAAATATACCCAAAAGATGCCTGGCATCTTCACGCAGACATTTATAACAGCTTTTAAAAAGTCAGGGTTAGGGTTAATGCCTATTACAAAATGCCCTAATAATTCAAAGAGTGAGTGACTTGGCCTCTGTGAACATTCAGCTGTCAAACTCCTCAGAGATGCCAGCCAAGGTCGCAAGCACTTGTCTTAACCAAGTGGAGCTGGCGTGGGCTCTGCTTCATCTTCATCTTCATCTCACAGCACTCCTAAACCACTCCTATCAACTCAGCCAGATCATGGCCATGCCAAACACTGCTATCACTCACCTCTGAATGAGATTTTTTACAAACCTGAATCCTGAATACAAACCTGAACACATAAATCTCACTAATGCAACATTATCCACACAATGCACCCCTACATAACCCACCATTCAGACACTCAGTGATGTCTCCCATTCCTGTTATTCAGCCTGACAGAATAACAAGTGTCATACAAATAAAACGTCTTATGTAATATTGCAATTTTCAGACTCTTTGAAGCTTAGTCCTGCACAACTACCGGTAAATTGTCCTCCACAGCTTCTTACCTGCCAGAATATGCTGTCTATTGTGTTTCCAAGGAAGCCTTCCCGTGTTTCTGAAGACAGGAGCTTAGGTCCGAGTATCGTCATGAACTCATCAAAGTCCACCTGTCCATCACCTGTAAAACACATTAAAGTCAGAATTCTGCGCACAAATCCCTAACTATGAACTAAATGGTACTTTTAATGTTTTTACTTTTATTATACTATTGTAATTTTGTAAAAACTTATATGACTTTTATATGACTTTCTTATATTTAACTTTGTAAATAACAAATATGATACAAGCATAATTCTGTTTAAGAATTAACTATGACATGCTTGTAATTAATATATATATATTTAATTATACCTTATTGATTAATAACAAAGTCACAAAACATACCTAAAATGCTATTTTTTCACTTTAACTACATAATCAGGATAAAAATAAAAGATTATTACATGAATTAAAGTTTGATTGATTACATTAAGAATCACGAGAGCAGCTTTAGATTAGGCATACTATACTGGGGTCCTAAGCTGGGACTCATCACTTTGCAGGACTCAGCACTTCACCACGATGGAAGTAAAAAATGACCTCCATGACATTTATTTTTAATAGTATAAACCTTTAAAGACAGACCTACTGAGAGCTACGAGGTTGTTAATCCATTGTATTTGCTTCTGCTAAAGCTTCTTTTTAAAATAATCGTGCTAGACAGCAGAATTACTGATGAAAAACTACATTACCCATGATGCTCTACAGAAAATTACATTAAGCAGAGTCGAAATAAAGCGACACACGCAGCAAAAGATCTTGTTAGCTCCGCCCACTCCCATGAAGCACTGCGAATGCTGTAATTGAGTCAATCTCTCTACGCTCCCAAAATACTTTAATGTTTGTATATATTTGCATATTTTGCAGTAAAAAAAAAGAAAAAATATATATTTAGTTTCAACTCAAAGTTATTGTGTACTGTAGTGTTGTGATTCACCTCATACAGTAGCTGATTGTCTTGGTTCATGGCTTTTAACTCTAACATTCTATATTCAGGGTAATTATTATGACAGAGTAAATATATATCACACCAGATTTAAACACATTAACAAACACATCATCTGTTATGATCAATCTGTCTATAAATGAACAAACATAATGTATTTTCAGTGAGTGAGCGTGGCCTATGCTTGCAAAACTACTTATTGGCTTCCTCGGACAATGTAGCACTCCTGAAGATGACTCAGTCTGACAAACCTCAGCTGAAATCTGAACATTAATGTGAATCATCAAGCACTGCTGCTGATCTGATTATATCAGCTGGCAAAATCCATCTGCTGTCAGGCAGCTTGGCTCAGTGGCCAGGTGTCATGCTTGAATGTACAGATGTGTAAAATGACAGTCCATCACACTATCTAATGAGCTTCAGAAGCAGCCTGTATGCATACTAAAGAAGATTAAAACCATAATAAACAATAATGGATAGTAAAATACTTTGACATCCGACAACAGTATATCAATTAACACTGACAACAATTCCACTTCTTTTTGGCAAATCACCAATCAATTACTGATGATACCATTACTACTTAATCACATTATTTGATTTTTAGGTAGGGTCGCATTTAAACAAAAATGTTATATTTTTAATGACTTTGGAGTTACTGTTTATGTAATAGAAAATAATTTCAAATAAAACATACATTTTGGTTTAATGTTCTACTATATAGAATAAGCAATTTAGTGTAATTTAGCTTTCACTGAAATTGACTATTTTATGCAATTTTGGATATTTTTTGTCTTTGCATTTTCTGTTCAATCCTGTTATGCTGTGATATTTTTATAACCAAGAGCACATGCATTTTATTTTAATCGACAGTCTTTCAAAAACCATATCCATCACTGATGTTTAGCTCAGGTTTGTGCTGTTTTAATATTACGATTCATGGTTCACAGTAGAAGAGTCTTGTTCTTGGAAGGTTTTGGGGGCGAAATAGCCTTATGTTTCTGATAAAGATGACTGGGCAAATACCCTGACTCACAGAAATTAAAATATAAAACTATAAAAATGATGAAAATTGTATTAAAACTGAATTTTTCTGACATAAAAAATATGTATGTAGGGTCCTTAATCTAAAGTGACCAGCCTGAAATCAAAGGAACTGTCCAGTTAAATTTTTTGCATGACCAAATGCTAATGAAGTAGGAAAATATTACTGCTTTATTCATTCATTTCCACTTAAACTCCTCAAGAGATACGCATAAGATGTCAGGCCAAAAAGCCTGTAAATTAGTTCTGCTGGCTTAGAGGAGATGAAACTGAAATTGCTTTGAGAATACAAACCCAGAAAAATAAGCACATTGACAACTAACAGATTCACAATTGATTGTAGAATATTGCTAAATCTGTATGACTAGGAGTTACAATCAGAGCATCACATACACATGGATGCTCTAGTCCAACTCAATGTCATTATCAGATCTGAAAACACACACATATATATAAATATACTACCCCAAATCAGAAAAAGTTGGGACATTTTGTAAAATGCAGTAAAATAAAGAATCTGTTATTTGTTAATATTTTCTAAAATATTTTTTATGTTTTTATTTTTTCGTCTTTTTTAACTGACAAAAGTACAAAGAAAAGTTTTCCAATGTTTTCACTGACCAACATAATTGTATTTCGTAAATATGAACTAATTTTGATTTTGAACGCTGCAACACACCCCAAAAAAGTTGGGACAGAGACATTTTTACCACTATGTCACATCACATTTCCTTTTAATTAAACTTTTTAATCATTTGGGAGATGAGGAATATTTATAATAGTGGAATATTTGCCCAATCTTGTCTGATACAAGACAGCCACTCAAAAGTCTAACAGCCTAATTCTCCTTTTCATGATGCATGATACATTTTCCATAAGAGCCATATCTGGACTGCAGTAAACAGGCAGGCACATCTCTTCTATGGTGCATGTGTCTAGAAACCACTCAGTTGTAGCACAGTAGGCCTGGAAATATGTCATCTTGATGGAAGTTTATGTCTCTGTACAATCCAAATATATAACTCCATGTCAATGGTGCCTTCACAATAATGCAAATTACCCATATCGCTTGCACTGATACACCTCAATACCAGGACAGATGTTTGCTTTTCGTCGCTGGTGAAAGTCTGGTTGGTCCCTTTTGTCTTTGGGACTATTCCATTTTCTCCCCAAAACAAGTTGAAACATGGATACATCTGACCATAGCAGACATTTTCACTTTCTTCTAGACCATCTGAGATGAGCTCAGGCCCAAAGAACTCGCCGGCATCTCCACATAGAACTGATGGAAAGCTTTCTCCTTGCGTAACAGAGATTCAAGTGGCATTTCTTGATGCAGAGCCCGACTGTGCTCAGTGAAAATGGTTTTCCAAATGACTCCTGAGCCCATGTGGCTGTATTTGAGAGAGTAGCGTGATGGTATCTTGTGGAATGCCATCTGAGGACTGCCTTACCCAACACAGACTGAGATTTCTCTGGATTCCCTGAATCTTGTGACAATATTTTGTATGGAAGCTGATGAAAGGCATAAATGCTTTGCAATCTTCCATTGAGAAATGTGATTTTCGATTTCACTTTATTTTGATGGTCCCTTTAACACATTATGTTGTCTATAAGTAACATTGCACCTACAGGTCTACTAACTCTCAGAGTGATAGTAGAGAATTAGTATGAGAACTGGCCAGTGGTGGAATGTAACGAAGTACAAATACTTTGTTACTTTACTTAAGTACATTTTTCACGTATCTTTACTTTACTTGAGTAGAATAAATAGTGCATACTTTTTACTTTTACTTCATTACATTTTGCAGCAATTATTCTACTTTCTAATCCACTACATTTCTACAACTTCTGTTACATTTTCTGATGAGTTTTTCCCCTGCCAAAAACGTAATCTGACCGTCCGTTCGTTGCACGTTTGTCTCACCAGTGACGTTTGGTTGCCATAGATGTATCAACCCGGTCACACTAAATGCGTCTCACACGCAGTGCGTTTATCGTGCGAAATTTTATACGCGAAAATTTGTCTGTACGTACTAGGAAACGCACCGTGTGTAATATACGTTTGGTTAGGATTATGGCAAGCCAAGAGGTTCAGAATTACACCATAAATTAATCACGTTTTCTGCCAAACATATTTATTAACATATAGTAAGGATAAGCATGATGTGTATATTGCCTAATTTCAAGCTTGTTTCAGAAATGGTGACAATTTTTTTTTTTTTTCCATCATTATTGAACATCATTATAGGAGTATTAGGTTGAATGAGTTAGAATTAAATGTTTTATTAATTATTAGAAAATAGATATTAAGAGAATAAATTGTTATGCATTTAAAATCAGGTACTTTTTACTTTTTACTTAAGTTCGGTTGTCATTGTGTTACTTCTACTTTTACTAAAGGAAATATTTATCTGGTTCTTTGTACTTTTACTTTAAGTACTGAGATTCAGTACTTCCTCCACCACTGGAACTGGCTGTGGTTGAGGAAAAACTTGAAGAGTATTTGTATAGTTTGCATAGTAATTACAGTTATTACATTCCTGAGAACCAATTCCATCAGACATCCCACCTATCAATCCACCAGAATACCAAATGGAGGTCTGTGCACCAAAGTGGAAAGAGGTAGAACAGGCTGTGAGAATCATCGTCTCCAGGGCCTAATGGAGTTCCCTACAGAGTGTACAAGAGTGCTTCAGGAGTACTACGAATTCTGTGGAAATTGATAAAAGTGGCATGGGAAAAACAGGTTGTACCTAGAGCACGGCACAGAGCAGGGTGAGTCCTTATTCCTAAAGAAAAAGATGCTACAAGCATCAGTCAGTTTCGTCCTATTTCACTATTAAACGTTGAAGGTAAGATTTTCTTAGTTTATGGTATTTTTACTTCCGATTTTTTCTTGTGTGTGGGAAAATAATCACAAATGTGACCATTTTTTTATGTTTGCAGATCTGATAATGTCAGTGAGTTGGACATGAGCATCCATGTGTATGTGACCTGCTATCAGTTCTCAATGGGAAAACAGCTAAATAAACATGTTAAAAATTGTCATTGAGTTTTAAGGTTAGGGTCATTTATGCAGTACAAAACCAATAGAAGTGTGTTGTTGAGTAAGGGGACTCACCATCCATGTCCAATCTCTGCATGATGATTGCCAGCTCCACTTCACTGGGCATGTACCCCAGTGAGCGCATGGCCATGCCAAGCTCCTGCTTGGAGATGAACCCGTTGCCATCCCGATCCAGGACCCTGAACGCCTCCCGGATCTCTGCCAAGATAAACAAGTGTGCGACTCAACACCTCGAGTGGTTTCTCATTGGTCGTCCTCCACTGAGGAATGATTGCAGTAATTTACCACCTTATCTACACCTGCTATTACACCAGTGGTGACACACTGCTGCGCTGTTTGTCTCGTCAAAACGCTTGTCAGCTTCTTATTTTACTGTTCATTTGGAAAGCTAAAAAGAGCAGTGAATGTCTGAGTTTTAACCAGCCTCAGAAACATGACTTGAGGCCAGGCTTTTTCCTGGCTTTTTCTTTTGATATGTGCTCTACAGAGGAGGGCTCTGCCACTGAAAAGCATATCTATCTCGAATCACGGAGACGAGCTCCATCAAATGCATATTTTATAAGCATTCCTTCTGTGAGGAGAAAACTTGTGGCAGGAAAGGATTGGTGTTTTAAAATAGAGCTTGAGTGTCACAACTCTGAAGAACACTACAGTTGCACAGCATGTTCGAGCACACAGCAGCACATTGGGTAATTTTGTCTGCGTACTAACGGGAGTTGAAGTCAAGCAACCTGGGAATTAACACGGAGGAAACAAAAGATAACTGAGATTTGACGACATGCTGCACTATTCTCATCCATCTAAATCAAGACTTATGACTACACAGACTTACTAAACAAGTTCTGCAATTTTGTCATATATTCAGAAATTTGATAAGAGGAAAAAGCTATTTTAAAAATAATTTATGCTTTTCAAAAAACAATAATCGATTATTTGGTCTTTTCTTTTTTGACTTATCCTGTTCGACATAACATTATTTTATTTAAAAAAATAAAATTATTATTATTATTTTATTTTAAAAAAATATATTATTATTTTTGTTAAAAAAAACAAATTTCAAATATTTGTAAAAATATAAAAACAAATATTTTAATTAAAATTTTTATTTAATTATTTATTTAAAAAAATATTTATAATTTCCATTAAACGGGGAATTTATACAGTAATTTAGGGTTCCTAAAAAAATTTTTTAAATTAATTTCCATGATATTTTTCAGACCAAGGAATTTAACATCACTTTATAGAGATTTCTGGAGCAGATTTCCATTTGAATTTCAGGTATCAATTCTTTGTCAAGGTCATATATTCAATTATTCCTTTGATAATCATTTTAAAAAACGTGCACTTTCAAAACGTGGTGTAAATGAATGGCCAAAACATAATGTGACTGTTCCTAAAAATAAATAAAAAGAATTTCCAATATTTTGCCCAATATTTTCTGACTATTTTATAGAGATTTGTGTGGAAGCGACCAACTCTTTATATTACTAGATTGAAATAACTTTCTAGAGTACACATGTCTCCAATAAGACAAAAAACTCCCTGAGATTGACTTGCTGTTCAATAGACAATTCAGTGCCTCCTTTGTCCTTAAAAAATAAAAAAATTCTCCCATGAAACCCAATTTACCAGTAATATCTGCCACCCAATGAATCCCAGAAACAGTCATCCTCAACAGATCGATGTTATGGGTTATCAAATTTTACTCTACACAAGTCCTCATAAAGAGCAATATCTAGTGAGTTATTGAAATGTTTTAAAGCAGAGCATGACTAGAGAAAAACGATACAATTAAGAACATCTGTCCCAGGAATGGGAAGCTCATAATTGTTATTCAACACAGACACAAACGTACAAAAAGATTGTGTTTGCACAGTAAAGGCATTAGATTTGTTTTTGTGCGTAGAGGCAAAATCGTGAATATATGCATACAGAGTCTGTTGTGGATGAAAAGTCTGGTTAAACAACCTTCAGAAACATTTCGTCCTCTCAGTTCTGACTATTTGTCTGAACTGAGAGGACAAATATTTTAGAGATGAATCTGACAGCCATATCCAAACGATGTAATAATCATGCGTTAGATCAGGTAAGATGCCTGAAGATGCAATTAGATTAAATGCTGCAATATTTAATAGAAATATCTATATTTCTACAAATGTGCTCGAATAGAGACTATTACAAATCCACAGATCCTTTGAAAAACATTTTGCTCATCCAGGAACATAAACTATCTCTGTGATTAAGATGCTACAGAATATTTGCTGACCCCTCCTGATACGATCAATATAACATCAGCAGGCTTCCAGCAGCTGTAATTCACAGTTTGGACTATTTTAGAGCAAAACCAACAAAGTCAATGACTTGTAGCAGGCCTGTACAATATATCTGCAGATGCCCTGCAGTGTTAATATGTCACTTAAACATTCATTTTCAGGCCTCAAGGGTTCAATGTATTACTCTTCAATCATGAGCTCCATTCTGCTGACATAGGCAGCCGTAATTGATTAAGCCTCTGCCTCAGTCTCTTCCCGAATCATGATGAAGAGTGTCAGGGGGACATGGGCTGCTTTGATCCTCGCTTTTATTCAAATTTGGATTTTTGATTCATGATTTAATGACTGATTTACACATGAAAACCAAAAACACTTCAGCTTTCATTAAAAAGTTATTAAAAAAATATATAGCCTAATGCTTAAGGGATCAGTAATTCATCCACATTCAAAAATGAATATTTTATAAACACGAGCATATAAATCAAAGATAGATGACGCTATTATCCATTAAACGAATAATATAACATAATAAAGTTGGTTTTTGTCTTTATTTGAGATTAAACTTTAGATATGCTAACTTTTCTGAAAAATTCATGGATGGATGGATGGATGGATGGGAGATACTTTATTGCCCAACAATTATTTGTTGATGATTAAAATATTTTATATTTTGTAAACATAAGGGAAAAACACTAAACTTGGTTATGGTATTCATCTGACAAAATTATTTGGCAAAAACGGCAAACTACAGTAACAGGTTTTGTTTCACTATTCAAAAAGATTCATGGACAAATAAAAAGCATACACTAACTAACATTATCAGTTATTAGTATTTTGTTGGTTCTTGTTTTTGTATGCTTTTATAATTTCTTTGTAGCCTACGACAGCCTGGCCAAAAATTATGTCCGCACAATTTAGCATGTTTCATTGCATTATCATAAATAAAACAAATGACTGGAAGCAAAACTAAGAAACACTTACAAATGTTTGATAATATTTGAAAAAAGGGTGAATATATCAATTTTCCTATACCACTTCTGCATAAAAGTCTTCTGAAGTCATTTTTCAGTCTGTTCCTCACAAAATCTATCATTTAGCTTCAGAAGACATAGCACATGATGTGCAGACTCCTTTATATGAAGATGAAAACTAGTTCATTCAATCAAAATAATGATGAAGTACCACATGGTTAAAAGTTTGGCCTTCATTAGTGCAAAGCATTTGTGTTTTTGTCCGTAAGGTTAGTACTCACCATCTAGTTCCTCCACAGAGATGCTGGCGAGCTGTTCGCTATTGCTGTGTTCTGACAGTGAGCGACTCAAGAAGTTGCCCTTGTACAGCAATCCTGCCGTCACATGGTGGAACGGCATCTTCTCCCTGAGAGAGAGCACAAGAAAATGCTGAAACAACCAGACCAAAAGACGTGTCAATGATTTTCACATCATACATTCATACATGCTTAAGTTGAGCAGTAATGTCTCAGGAGATGTCTCCACGGTGGGCTCTCGTTGTCTCTTTGTTCAGTACAAAACCATTGGAATATTTCTAATGTTCTGCTTTTGTAAAAGGATATGAATGCCGTTTCCATGCATATGAAGCATATCACAATTATTTAGTAAAAAATATTACAGTCAGTAAAAATATCTATTTTAATATATTTTAAAATACAATTTGTTTCTGTGATGGCAAAGCTGAATTTTTAGCATTACTCCAGTCTTCAGTGTCACATGATCTTTAAGAAATCATTCTAATATGAAGATTTCTTTAAAATAATAATAATAATCTTCTCGACCCAAACTTTTGAACGGTAGGGCATTATAAAATGTAATATAGTAACAACAACAAAAAGTATAACGTTAAGATGTATTTTTCTTATGAACTAATTATTCATTAATTGCTTTTACAATATTAACAGAATAAAATAAACAGGAATAAGTAATTAATGAAAAATGACATATCCTTAAATAAAGCTAGATTACATATTTTACCTGACACTAGGTGGAATGACCATTTCTGTTCATCAGATACAGTTACAAGGCGATAGGTTATGATATTTTTTATGATATCTAAATAATGGACAGTGAATTGATCATATCACTCATATAAACAGAACAATTCTGCATACCCAAAACAACAGTAATTGAACAAAACAAAAATATGTAGAGTTCACAAAGTTAACATAACAAAACAAAAAAAAAATCCGACTGGAATAGCTCTTTGTTTTCGAAATCTTTCAGATATTGTGCTTAACATGAGCAAAATTTCTCTATTAATTATTCAGCACAGTCAAAGCTATGGGAATCATTTGAATACAATGCTATCAGATAGAGATGAGAAACTGAGTTTCTCTGTAATTGGGCTTCATGTTGATTAGTATGAAGTGAGTGCCTTTTGAAACCGTGAGTTTGAAAAACAAGATTAAGTGTCAAAAGCCCACTCAAAATGCACAGCACTCAACATCCTGCAGACCGTTCCAGAGATCAAGATGGATTCTGTGCATACAAAGTACTCCCACAAACAAACCCACTGAACGTTTCACTGTAGTTTTTGGCCCATGGCCCATGTGACAGCTGCTAACCTTCCACTAGCCATTATAATGCATCCAAAAATAAATATAAATCAAGCTTTCAACAATGTAAGATTGTCTAAATTAGCCAGTTATAGTTTAAAGCTGCAGTCCGTAGCTTTTTGGGGGTTAAAGATGATAGCCTTTTCCCGCAGCACTTGACATAATTAAACGTATTAATTTGATGGCGGATCACAGAAAGATTCAAACGACAATCACCAGTGACGCAACACAAAGACTTCGGAGTGCTGCAACCCGATCCATGCGAAAACAAGGACAAGGATCCGCGCTATGCCATGTCGAGGCACAACTCACGTAAAGTTGATCATTCCGTGAATAACTGCAATTTCAAATTACAAACAGAGATGGCGACAAAGAGGAAAAACTGAAAACAGCAGCTTTAAAGAGTTAGTTCACCTAAAAAAATGAAAATTGTGTCGGTATTTACTCACCCTCATGTTGTTCCAAACCTCTATGTGTTTATTTGTTCTGCTGAACACAAAGGAAGATGTTTGGAAGAATGTTTTAATCAGACTACCATAGTAGGAAAAAATACATACTATGGAAGTCAATGGGGAATGAAATCTGTTTGATTAAAACATTCTTCCAAATATCTTCCTTTGTGTATAGCAGAATAAATAAACACACAGAGGTTTGGAACAACATGAGGGTGAGAAAATACTGACAGAATTTTCACTTTTGGGTGAACTAACCCTTTAAGGTGAACCAGAGAAAACACTACTGAGCCCAGTTTACTTTACTGAAAGAGGTTGAGTGTTTCTCTATAAAACTTCACAGCACTGGTTGATCGATATGGGTTTTTCTACTGATATCTAGAGAGTAGGGTGCCAGATTTAATTCTGATATACAGTATATGGACCGCAATGTTGGGGAAAGATACTTTTAAAAGTAATGCATATTGCATTACTCGCTAAAAAAAATCCTAATTCGGTTGCTTAGTTACTTTTTATGGAAAGTAATGTTACATTACTGTATTTTTGGCAAATGTAAAAGCCCTTTCACACCAAAAGTGAAATGCAAATTCATGCCTTTACAGTAGAGGATGAAGCTCAAACCTTTCAACTGTGCAGACCAATAACAGAAGAAAGTTCAACACTCTGGCTGCATCCGAAATCACACACTCTCATAGGTGAAAACAGTAACAGTACAATTCACAATTACTCAAAGTAATTTAATGCGTTTCTTTAGTACTCCGATTATGTGACTCAAGTTACTTGTAATGCTTTAACCTCAACACTGATGGCCAGTATATGTGGACATTCCCTAATAACTCATATGTTTGGTAAAATCAGCAATATTGTGAAATACTACTGCAATCTACAACAACTCTTTTATATTTTATTATATTCTAAATTGTAATGTAGACTAGTGACTTTTCAGCATCATTACTCCAGCCTTCAGCGTCACATGATCGGTCAGAAATCAATCTAATATGTTGATTTGCCACACAAGAAACATTTCTTATTGTTACCAATGCTGAAAACAGTTGAAAACTGCTTTTTTTTGAGTAAACGGTGCAACGTGATTCTTAAAATGAGTAAATGTCAGCCATAAGGGGACTTGTTTTCATTAGACAACTGTCATGGAGTCTTCATGTGTTACTTGTGTTGGCATTAAAGAAGAAATCTTTCGTCTCTTTTCGGCTGATTTGCAGACAGACCTCTCTTCAGCAGAGCTAAAAGCCTTCCTTCAGAGTGTGGCGCTGCACTGCTGGTGTCCTGCACAGGAACTTAAAGCTCTCATGGGGACAATGTGGTCACCCAGCAGGTTAAATACCACAACACCATCAGCAGAGAGCAAGAGAGAGAAAAGCCACCTGAAGTAGCAGTCAGCATGAAGGGGCATGAGCTTCCAGATCACAGACTACGCTCTGGGATGTGAGCCCACAGTCACAGTATGTGCTGGGCTACAGCCAGTCACCAAAGCAGAGGAAAACACATACAGCTTGAGAACGTACAGTAGTAGCAGTCTGCTGAAGGACATATCCCATGATGGATGGCAGACCCTTGTAAAATATGGATGCTGCATTGGGACAATAGTTTGCTCTAATGGGGCAGCTGATTGGGCTGTGCAAAAGCTTTAATGGTTTATGCAAAAGCTTTAATAGTAATCTGGTCTGGTTCAATTCCAGAATCTCTCTATCAAATGTGGAGATGTAAATGCCTTAGTAGTTTAACATTTCATATTAGAAGCATCTTTGGCTACAGCATATGTAATTATTCAACAAAAAAACCCATTAAATCTTTTAAAAATTTGCACATACGCTTCAGTCTGGACGCTAAGGCTGCTCAATCGGATTTTAAATGGCCTTTTTTTTTTACTCTTAACGTGACAAACACACACAACGACAACAACAAAACAGCGAAGCCAGCAGAACTTTACAACTTTACTTAGACAGAGGAGGTCTGCACCGCAATTCAATGGGACGCTTATTTGGAGAGCGAAATGTCGCACCTCAATTTTTCCTGCATCCATTTTGAAAGCCTCATCACATACGTGGGTACGCTTACGTCATTACCAAAGCAACCCATGCAGACAGATTGGTTTTGTCTGGACACACGAATCTTATTTGCTCACTTGCAATTACTAGTGCGAACAGTCTCCCTGAAAAGATCTGATTTGAGAAAATATCTGATTTGCAGGTAGACTGAACATCTTTTTTGTGGAAAAAAAAATAAAAATCTGCATGAATTTTGCGGAAGAACATTGTTTTGTTTGTGCTTTGGCTTTGCGTGACTGTGCGGATGAATATGACCCTTTACAATAGATAATACTTTCAAATGAATGCTGTAAGAAAAAAAATATATTTTAGAGAGCTACATATGGCAATTTATCCGTATAATAAAATACCGTATACACCTGTTCAGTAATAAAAACCTCCTTTTACAACATTTCAAATCTCAGTTCTTGCTCCGAAAAGCCAGGCCAATGTTGTTTTTAGTTTCATTACAAGCTGTCACATTCTCTTTTTGCCAGTGTTTTTTTTTTTTAAAGTTACATGTACTTTTGGCCAAATGATTAATAAAAAAAAATATATAATTAGCCTTTGGTGGTTGTTTATGGTTGTTTCATAGCAATGAAATCCATTTCTCCATATATACAGGGTACTGAATGGCTACAGCACATATGTCAACACTTTGCACAAGTAGAGCTAAATTGGCCAAATAAATCATTGTCCCCGAAAGGGAAAAGGCGCAGATGAACTGTTTATGGGGGAAATTTTAATTATGGTAATTATCACAATGCCTCCAGGTTCATTAGTATTCAAATCAAGTTCTTGTTTTATAATACATAACTCATAAATCATGGAAACCCAATACTACACATGCAATTCATTTTTATCACTGGCTCACAACACATCACAATCATAAATACACACTTTAAATGCTATAGAAAATGACTGCGCAAAATGAAGTTTCCTTTTGACTATCTACGTAGAACATTGGTGTGTAAAAACGAAAACAGCAAGTTCGTCTGCAAAAACATGTCTCCATGTCTCTATGCATTTTTTATATCCACACCCATGCAACTCCTTGGGGCAAAGCCTGACAGTCTGAGTGTGTCCAGGGGGAAAGTATGACTAATTTACCTGCAATCTCACTATTATGCTGTTCACATGATGAATTTAAGTCTACATGACGCCAAAGGGACTGCAATGGCAAAAGTAAGTAGAAGTATTTTGCAGTTAATCTGACACACTTAGCAACTCTGTAGTCTGTCTAAGAGTAAAAGTAAGTATTTTAATTTTAATATATATATATATATATATATATATATATATATATTGTATGTATATATAAATGCTGTCCTTTTGAACTTTCTATTCATCAAAGAATACTGAAAACAAATGTATCATGGTTTCCGCAAAAATATTAAGCAGCACAACTGTTTTCAACATTGATAATAAATCTGAAATATTTCTTGAGCAGCAAATCAGCATATTACAATGATTTCTGACATTAAAAAACGTTTAAAAGATATATTAAAATAAAAAAAACACACGTTTTAAATTCTAATAATATACCAATATTACTGGTTTTACTGTATTTTTGATTACAGTAGTCTTGTATAAGAAACTTACAGAACCAAATTTTTTAACGAGTGTAAATATACTAATTTCATGCGGTTACCAATCAAAGCACATCTCTCACTCTTTTGTATTGGCATGATGGATGATGGTTAAAAGTTTACAATATAGTCGCTAAATTAACACAAGCCTGCATTTATAATAGACTATAGAATTAGAAATGTATCTAATAGTAGAAGTAATTGAACTTGTCACCTTGTGGGACACTATTTGAAAAGTCATTTCGGTTACCCATTATGGAAATGGATGTTATGTTCAGGAGGGATAATAAAGTGTCTGGACACGAAGAGTGTAAGTGGAGGCAGCATCGATCACAATGTGTTCAACTGAGGGCAAAACTTTCCAGTCCAACAGTGCCACATTCCCTAGAAAACAGCGGTCGAAATGTCAAAAATATCTTGCCATATATTGTTATTCACAAGATGACAAGAAAAAAAGCCAGCATTCTTTAATCAAATCACAAGGAGCTGTGCTTCACAAAGTCACTGGGAAAAAAAGTCAATATGTCATTCCACATCATGTCAAAATAACTCAATCTTCTACGCCCTAACCTAAAACAAAGGGAAGATTCGGAGGACAGACCCGAAGTTATTAAAATCAATACAAATACTTTCAAGCCAGTGATCACGCATACCAAAACAAAATCATCAAATCAGGGCATCTCCAACCAAACTACTCTCACTAAACACACGTTTAACATTAACATTCTGCATGTTTCCTCAATGCTACAAGAGTAAGATCCCGGGATGGCAGCTATCATCTCTGTTCCTTACCCGTACGGATCAAATTCTACAGGATACTGAAGCACAACAGGCTCTTTCCCAGGACTCCCTTCAGCCCTTCTCGGGACGCACGACCCCTCTCCTTCAGACCCCTCCGCCCGAGGGTCGGGATCCAGATCGGTGACCTCCATCTTACAGCACACTCCGGCGGGCAGGCTGTCCCACACGTCCACAGCCTGTCTACGTCCCACCGCTGGTACTCTCCCTGAGCAGCATAGAGTGCCCAGAAACCCCTAGTAAATATTTCAGCAGCCTGGAGCAGGTAGTCACTCATTCATCCCTTCATCTGGTCAGGACTCTGGAGAGGGGTGCAGCGGTGTCACCGGTGGGCTCATATGGCTCTGTGACATAAGTAGTCCTGCCTCTGCAGCTCAGTTGAGAACACACACACACACTGCTGACCAGCCCCCCGGACTGCAGTGCCACTCCTGCTCTCTCACACTCTACATCGCTCCTCCAGGTTCATAATCATTAGCATGTCCATCACTTTTTCCCTGAAGGGGGTGTTTGTTGGTTGGTTGGGCAACACCTGACTTGTCAAATGATACTAAGGTGGATAATTTGCCCAGAACCACCTGATTACCAGCAATGAATGATACATAATGTTCTTTGTGTTTTGCACAGGTTTAGGAATGCAGATACTATATATACATATGTATATATATGTGTGTGCGTATATATATATATATATATATATATATATATATATATATATAAATAAACAAAAGCATTAATAATACTATTAAATTAAATAAAAATTAAAAGATAAGACATCCTTAAAATTAAAGAGTTATTGCAAATATAATTATAAAAAATATAATACAAAAATATAATTATAAATATTTTGTTGTTTTTTAACATCTATTGTTAAAATTATACAAAAATGTTAAAACATTATTATTATTATTATATTAAAAAATAAAAATTTTAAAAATCTTTAAAATGTAAGAACTTTATAAAATGATTATTATTATTAAATAATAATAATAAACTATTTTATACATGTTTTACAGACAATAGATGTTTAAAGATCAGTTAACAAAAAAATGTTAGCAAGCCAATAACCAAGTCGACTGTAAATAAATCATACATTTTCCGTCCGATCGATCAGCCAGTAGCTATAATTAAAGGCATTAAAACAACAGGTGCAAAAGTGTACAAATAGGCTGCAGTTTCTGAAATCATGCTGCCTTTTAAATCCTTCATCATGTCACACAAATCCACTTCAGACATCAGGCACAGGCTCTCTTACCTTTAGTGGTGATGATGCGCGATTTTGAAAGTGATCCCTTAGATCTTGAAGGGTTGATGTTCCGAGCCGATGTCGCTACAGGATCCAGATTATCCCGCTGCTAAAATCTGGATCATAGATTCTCGCTGAATTATGAGGAAATTCTCCAGATCTCATTCGCGATTTTAGGCTACATAATTATTTTTAGCCATCGGGTGCGAAAGACAGTGGACAGTGGACCTTTTTCCTGATTGTTATCCGAAAAAAACAACACGTCCGACTTCCAGCCAAAAGCAATAAAACCCGTTGGACTTTTCCTCCAACTCCAATCAGCTCTAATGAGCCCCCGGATTTTTCAGTACTTCCATGATCTAAGCGAATTCCTGCTCATAGTTCCCGAGCTCAATTGATTCACATCGCAAAAAAGCTGCTCATAGATTTTCGACTGCCATACACACACGAGCCTCATAAAAAGAATCAATAAACACCGCTCTCAAATCAGCAGTCCATCTGGATATTGTTGTCCAAGAGCTGTCGCTGGGCATTTACAGTCACAAAACAAGAAACGGCAGGTTCCAGAGAAAGAAGAAGATAGATTCCTCACAGAACATAAATTAACCCATTGAACACACTGACTGACTGAGAGCTGGAGTCAGCGGATCCAGTCTAACTAACTCATCTCATACTGTCATCCATCCGCAGCTGAGCACTGGATCAGGAGAAACTAGGGAATATCACATCATCACTGGAGGGATGAGATCTATCTATCTATCTTTCTATCTTTCTATCTATCTATCTATCTATCTATCTATCTATCTATCTATCTATCTATCTATCTATCTATCTATCTATCTATCTATCTATCTATCTATCTATCTATCTATCTGACACTGCATCCATCCATCCACATTTTGCCCATGCATCCATCCACCCATCCATCCATCTACCAATGTGCATCTGCCAATAATCCATCCTTGAATGCATCCATCTATCAGCCCATCAGCCCATATCAGTCCATCCATGCATGCATTAATTCATCCATCCGTTCATCCACCCATCCATCCATCCATCCATCCATCCATGCATTCATTCATTTATAATCTGCACATCCATCCATCCATTAGCCCATAAGCCATCCATGTATTCATGCATGGATCATCTATCATGTGCACATCCATACATCCATTCATCCATGCATCCATCCATTAGCCCATAACCCATCCATGCAATTATCCATCCATCCATCTGCACATCCATCAGCCCATAACCCATCCATCCATCCATCCATCCATCTATACATCAATGCATTCATCCATTAGCCCATAACCCATCCATCCATGCACATTCATCCATCCATCCATCCATTATGCATTCATCCATCCATGCATCCATTCATCCATCCATGCATGCATTCATTCATCCATCCATGCATCCTTCCATCCATCCATCATGCATTCATCCATTAGCCCATAACCATGCATTCATCCATCCATGCATTTATCCATCCATCAGCCCACCCATCCATCCATCATCTGCACATCCAGCCATCCATCTACCCTTCCATGCATCCATTCATCCATGCATTCATCCATCTTCCCATCCAACCATCCATTACCCCATAACCCATCCATCCATGCATCCATCCATGATCTGCACATCCAGCCATCGTTCAGCCCATAACCTGTCTGTCCTCCTATCTATACCTACCTATTTATCCATCCATCTATCCATCCATCTATCTATCTATCTATCTATCTATCTGTCTATCTATCTGTCTGTCTATCTATCTATCTATCTATCCATCCATGTGCCCATAATCAGCCATGCATGCATCGAACCATTCATCCATCCTTGTATGCATCCATCCATCAGCCCATAACCATACCATGCATCCATTCATGCATGCATTAATTCATCCATCCATTCATTCACCCATCTGCCCATTCATCCATCCATGCATTGATCCATGCATTGTTCCACACATCCATCATCCATCCATCCATGCATCCATCCATCAGCCCATAACCCATCCATGCAATTATTCATCCATCCATCTGCACACCCATAAGCCCATAATCCATCCATCCATGCATCCATCCATCCATCCATCCATCATGCATTCATCCATCCATGCATTCATCAATTAGCTCATAACCCATCCATGCATCCATCTATCCATCCATCATGCATTCATACATCTATGCATTCATCCATTAGCCCATAACCCATCCATGCATCCATCCATCCATCCATCATGCATTCATACATCCATGCATTCATCCATTAGCCCATAACCCATCCATGCATTCATCCATCCATGCATTTATCCATCCATGCATCTGCACATCCATCAGCCCACCCATCCATCCATCATCTGCACATCCAGCCATCCATCTACCCTTCCATACATCCATCCATCCATGCATTCATCCATCTTCCCCTCCAACCATCCATTAACCCACAACCCATTAATCCATCTATCCATGATCTGCACATCCAGCCATCCTTCAGCCCATAACTCATCCATGAATCAATTCATTCATCCATCCATCAGCCCAAACAGATTTAGGTTTGGGAAGGACCCAATATAAAAGTTTTAGAAAGGGCCATTAAAAAATCCATGCTGATTGAGTCTGATGTGATCCATGCTGATCACACATGGACTTGTGGTATGCATTAACATTCCTGTTCATCTTAATGGGAATTAAACAGTTCTGCTTTTGAGTCAATCAATTGTGGTGTAAACATCATGTGGCCAATTACTCTGCAAACACATGAACATGAAGATGTCATGACAATGCTGATTGGTGAATGACAAAACAAGAACACACACAGTCTCAAGCCTTTCAAGGGAGTAGGGAGAATAAATTCTTTGTTTCAAGCTTATGTCTTAAGAGACATAATATTTCACTGGTAAAAAAAAAAAAAAACTTAATATGACCATTAGCTGATATAAACTTCAGAAGTAAAATATTATAATCTATAATCGTATCATATTTGAAGACCAATTCAAATGAAGACCAAACAAATATGAAAAGGGCAGAAGCCCCATCCCTCGTTTTATACCAGTCCATTAAAAGACTTCAGATAGAGGCTTCAGAGTTTGTTTGTTTTTTAGATAAGGCATGCCATATAAATAAAAGGTATTATTTTCATTACTTAACCTGAAATGATATCAATACCTGTGGCTAAAGCAATTTAGTTAGCTGTGTCAGGACAGAACGGTATGTGTGTGTGTGTGTGTGTGTGTGTGTACGCAAGAGGAAAGCCAGCAAACACTTCACCCTGGAAACTTAAAGAGTGCTGATGAGAAAAAAAGAATAGGAAATGGGCAGAAAACACCACCACAAGTAAAAAAAAAAAATCAGTAAGCAGAAAGGCAATCAGCACAATATAAACCCACAGTCCTGTGAACACTGACAAAGAAGCGAGCCTACTCATTCATCAAAGCACACAGAGATCATGTGTACTGCCAGGAATCAAAAAGAGGGCTTTGTGATTCTGAGTCACGGACGTGATAAGATGAATGGTCAGTCTGAGACACAATGATTATGCTTTTTGCATTTTGGAAAATCACAATCGTAAGCATCTAGTAAGTACATCTATTTTACAAGTAATTGTGAAAGCACTGTGACAAATTGCTTCTCTTCCTCAGTTGTAAGTCACTTTGGATAAAACCATCTGCTACAGTATACATACATGCAATAGATAAAGCTTCATTTACATAGCATCTTTAAAATAATCTTTTAAAGTGAGGCAGAGACCATCGGTTGCAGATCTAAATGTGAGATTGCAGTGGATTGTAAGAAAAAGTTGGGGTTTATGAGAATGAAATGATTGGAGATGTCTGGCATTCGTCTCCAGAGAGAAGTCTGCGATTTCAACTGAAGATCGAGTTGATTCAAAATTACAATAGAAAAAAAAATTAAAAATGAAACACGCAGTTATGCATGGATTATTCACAATAAGATCAATAATATGAATTTAAACACGCTGACTGTTCCAAGATGGCGGACGCGCCATTGAATGTGACATCTAGATATAGCCTACATACTGTATCTATGCTTAAAATTACCATCAGCATATATTGTTAGCTGATTCAAAAGATTTCTAAGCCCCGCACGTTCCCTTTTCACAGTGAACATCTTGAACATGCATCACATTGGACTACATAACTAACACAACGCAACTGAAACCAATTCACTCAATCTCACACACACCGCACACACAGTCTTGATGTGATAATTAAAATCCCCCTCATTTCTCGGCCTGAGTGTCCTCTAAATTCTTCCACCAGCTGACTCACACACAGGGCCTGAATCGGTGACTCACACACACACTTTGTGAAGCATGCTAGGATTTTTCTCCAGACATCAGTCACAAAGAGAAGCACAGGATAAGCTGACTTCAAAGTTAAGACCAAAATGAACCTGACAACCGGCTGATATTGATGACGACACTTTAAAAAAGTCCTTCCTCCGAAGCAAAGCTTAAACTTTAGCAATATAATAATCATAAATGGAGAGAACATTTTTAATACTGGATTACCTGTCATATTACGCTGCTGAATGGGGAAACAGCAGCTAAAGGTAGAACTTATTGGAGCTGAAAAATGACTCCCGTTAAGAAATAAGGAAATCGCAACGGTATTCCTGTCAGAGCGGCAGTGAAGATTTACTGAAGTGTTAGCCGTTCCAAACACACTTGCTTTTTTTACCTGTCTCTGGAAATGTAGTAACTGCAGAGTGATGAGAATCTTTTTATCCGGTTTAATGCTCGTCTCAATTTTGCTTCACAAATTCGGTGTCAGAATCTATGAATATGCTTTGAAAGAAATGAAAAAAGAGATTCATTCATTCTCATTAGCGAAGTAGGGCAACATGATACGCTCCAGCTAGCGCACAGACAAAAACGTAGCGTGCCTGTTGTTAAACGAAACTTGTTTAAAGCAGCAGTGAACAAACTTTTTTTTTTAATTATATATACAACTTTATATTTAGAGGTATGCAATATTATAGTTAAGAGCACTATCCCACTAAACCAGAACTGACCCAGTTACCATAGCCTACTGTTCATGCACAACAATCTAAAACTCAAGCATTTCCAACAATGGAAAACACGCAAAGCTAATACCTTGCAAAATTAAAGGCAACCAGCCGGAACATGCTGAGTTTTCACTGGGAAATTGTATTATAATGAAGGATTTGAGGGATAAAAATATTTGCGAGGGAAGTAAGTCTGAGCAAGGGATGGAATATGGCGTGTGTTGGGCTGAAGAGAAGATAAATGACACACAGGTGTGTCTCTGAGCTCTCCATTAAACACTGGTTAATAACTGGTGCTCTGCTCACTGAGGCTTTACCGGTCTCATGCTGTGTGTGTCAACACTTGTTAAAGATGCACTGTATCTTTGTTAAAACAATGCCATCTTGACAGCATGACACCAAAAATGTCCATCTTACACCAAGCATCAGGCAAATATCACTAATATAGTAGGCTAATATTGATTTATTAATGAATATTTTTTTTAAAGAATGGTTTGATTTGATTAGCTAGAAGAAGCCATATCAACCTCTAGCCCAAGTCTAGTTGCCCACTGAAGCTTACCTGGTCAGTTCTTGGGAAAACTAGGGCCCTGTCCCAAATGGCCCACTTCATATGCTCTTTCGCTTTTGTGGACTTCCAATGGCTGCCACATGCGCATGTCTGTTAAGTCCG